ATAATACCAAAAGCACAACCTAGAAAGAAAAAATTGATAAGTTGGACTTTATTAAAATTAAATCTTCTAGTCTATGAAAGGCACTGTTAAGTGCATGAAAAGAGAAGCCATAGGCTGTGAGAAGAACATAGCTGATAAAGGGCTTATATCTAAAATACACAAGGAACTCTTAAAACACAACAATAATAAAACAACACATTTAAAAAGTGGGCAAAAGATCTTAACAGAAACATCACCAGACACTGTGTGTATAAATATATATGTATATATATGTGTATGTATATATATGGTTATTTGCTCTTTGCTATCTTTTTTTATGCTTATTTGCCATGTATATAGAGATGGCAAATAAGCATGTAGATGGCAAATAAACATATAAAAAGATACTCAACATCATATAGCATCATATCATAAAGGAATTGCAAATTAAAACTAATGAAATATCGCTGTACACCTATTAGAATGGCTAAATTCCCCCCAAACAAAGGGACAGTACTAAATGCTGGTGAGGACACAAAGCAACAGGAATTCTCCTTCAATCCTGATAGGAATGAAAAGTGGTACTACACTTCGGAAGACCATTTGGCAGTATTTTACAAAGCCAAAACATAATACCATTATCATCCAGCAGCTGTGTTTCTATTTACCCAGTTGAGTTGAAAACTTATGTCCACACAGTGACCTGCAAGTAAATATTTTATAGCAGCTTTATTCATAGTTGACCCAAACTGGAAGTAACTGAGATGCTCTTCAGTAGGTGAATGGATCAACTGTGGTACAACTGTACAATGGTATATTATTCGGCAGAAGAAATAAAAAATGTCAAACCATGAAAAGACATGGAGAAGCCTTAAATCATATTGCTGAGTGAAAGAAATCAGCCTGAAAAAACTCCATATTATATGAGCCAAACTGTTTGACATTATGGATGAGGCAAAACTATAGAGACAGTAAAAAGATCAGTGGTTCAGGGAGAGGAGAGAGTAATAAATAGGCAAAGCATAAGGGATTTTTACAGTGGTGAGACTACTCTGTATGATACTGTAATGGTACATACATGGCACTGTGCATCTGTCAACACCAATAGAATTGTACAAGACAAAGAGTGAACCTTAATGTAAACTAGACTTCAGTTAAACACTGTAGAGACTGAGGCAGGAAGATCTCTTGAGCCCAGGAGTTCGAGGCTGCAGTGAGCTATGATAGTGCCACTGCACTCTAGCTCAGGCAACAGAGCGAGGCCCTGTCTCAAAAAGCAAAAAAGAAGAGAAATGGAGAAAAGTAGGTATATATTTTAGGGCATATAGTAGGGTATATTTTGCAGGTGGAATTATTAGAACTTGGTGAGAGAAAGAAGAATAAATGATAATTCCTGTATTTTTGACTTAAGCAACCGGATGGATGGATGGTGGTGCTGTTAAGGCTGGAGTAGGTGTGCTCAGGTATGGAGAGTTTAGATTGAGGTTTAATCATTTAACGATGTATGCAGCTGTAAATATTAGACCGAAGAGTCTGAAGCTTAGGGGAGAGGATGGGACTTGAAGTATAGAGTCTCTATTTTCCTACTGTTTTTGCCCTTCTTTTTTTTTTTTTTTTTTTTTTT